ACTGCAATTTTTCTTCACCATATGCTACATACAAAAGTTGTGGGCAATATTCTGTCTAGATTTCTACTTAATTAAAAGGTTGTAACCGTATTATTAAATTAAAATTAATTTTCTTATCAATTACCTTTTAAACTTGCATTGTTATTACAATATATGTGGCGGATGGAAATGGAAAGCACGTCGAGTCGAGTCTAGTCTTGGCAGCATTTACAATAAATTGCATTACCCATGGTTTTGGTGACAACAAATAATAAAAAAAAAAACAACAAAAAATGGAAAAAAGATAAACTTGATTAAACCAAGTTTTTTTTGAAACCGATTAAAATCAAGTTTCAGCAAGGTGAATATGTGAGATCTCNTACGTCGAGTCTAGTCTTGGCAGCATTTACAATAAATTGCATTACCCATGGTTTTGGTGACAACAAATAATAAAAAAAAAACAACAAAAAATGGAAAAAAGATAAACTTGATTAAACCAAGTTTTTTTTGAAACCGATTAAAATCAAGTTTCAGCAAGGTGAATATGTGAGATCTCCTATGATAAGACCTAATGGTCATAAATTAGATTGAATGGAAAACTACTCTTGACTTACGAGATCTATAACAATGATTCTTAATAGAGATATGCAGTGAAAATTTCTATGAGAAGAATACAGAATATATTCATAAACTTAATTCTTTATAGGTTGCAAATAGTTTTTCTCTCAAGTAACTTATATATCTCCCTCACCGGTAAGCAATTACCTTTATTTAAAATATTGTTCCCTCACATCAAAAAAAATTGTCAGGAAACTGACTATTACTTAAACTGTTTCCTTATACCTAATACACTATCTTCATAAAAAAAACTACTACTAATCAAAGTAATGTAGGTTAGGTCTTTTAATTAGGATATCCTTATCCCATAACCCAAGTCTGTATCTTGTCAATTTAGTCCACATAACGGTTCCACTAAATAAGTCCAACATCCTATAGTACCAAGTTCAATATAATATTGAAAGATATGATCCAACAAAAGTCAATTAAAAATTTTCAAGCGGCAACATTAATTCACAACCTCGCTGAACTAAATGACAATAATTGATGAGATTATGAAGAACAACTCTTTGATACCGTTGCCTTTCTCAAAATAAGTTGAAAGATGAAAGAGACATCAAATTTATTGTCTAAAGCAGCTCTTGCCTTAAAAAAAACTAATGAAACCAATCTCAAATTTGCAACACAATGCAACTGCACCGTAATAGACATCAAATTTATTAGATCCAATGGAAATAAAACTCACTCTATATTCTGAATCGTGTCAACACGAGAATAGACTCTCTGTACGTAAGCATAAAATTGAACACATCTTATCCTTTTCAGAGCAAGCAATGGAAGGAGAATGATGCACTGGGCTTTTTTTTTTTTTTTTTTATCGTATTGAAGCCCATGAACTGCACCGTAATAAGAAAGACTCAGACCCAAAAAGCAACTTCATTAGGAAATGGTGAATCAACAGCCGTTCACCTGTACGCATAATCCATTATCCATACCAATCAAAGAACTACAACATACAAAATTTAAAGTTTCTAGTCCTTGTATCTTTTTTTAATAACAGGTGAATTATTCCAACAACGTACCTTGTTGACTCATGGTTGCAATCCAAACATCCGATTTACACAATCACTCACACATTATGTGCATTATTTAAACTTCAATTTTATGCGCCCTATAAAACTCAAACAAAAAATGTGCATATCATAATTTTAAAAACTGGCTCGGACCTCAACTTGGCAAAGTGACTGGTTCAATGGATTACCGATTCAATAGTGGGATCATTGGTTAACCGGTCATATAATAAAAAAATAAAAAATAATTAATAAGTATTATAAAAATATTAAAATAGCCATAAAAATGAAATGAGTCCCGATTTTATATTAATTTTGATTATTTAATATGAAATTTATGCACACAGTATACTAAAAAGAATTTAAAAAAACAAAGAACAAGCAATTTCATTGATCCCTCGTTGGAACTCCAGGAAAAGAGTTCTGACCGTCAATGCTATAATTAGACTGTGGAGCAGTACAATCACCTTATCAAAAAGGGATTGAGTTTGATAATCTGGGCTATCCCACATTGGGTGTGTGAGTGTGTTTATAAGTCTTCACTTGACCCTTACTCTGTTAGAGTAAGTGGTTAAGTATGAATCAAAAAAAAAAAAAACCTTTGACGCCTTATGCGGGGGCGCTCGGTTGTGGACTAGAAATCCCCTCTTTGGGCCGTTAGTATCCTGCGGTCATGGTAATTGTACTGCAGAGGTAGAGGACTAGGCTATCCCACATCGGGTAGAGTAAGTTGTTAAATGTAAATCNAATCCCCTCTTTGGGCCGTTAGTATCCTGCGGTCATGGTAATTGTACTGGAGAGGTAGAGGACTAGGCTATCCCACATCGGGTAGAGTAAGTTGTTAAATGTAAATCACAAAAAAAAAAAAGTTTGATAATCTATTTCTTCTTATAGCGGTTGGGCTGGTCCAATGAAATGGGCCATTAATAAAATTTAAGTATTTGTGTCAGTCCAAAAGTAACATAGAATTGTCTAGAATTATGAGAACTGATCCGGTTCTAATTAATTGTGTCTGGTTTTGACCTGTTTAATGGTTTTTTGACGGGTTAATTATATAACCTATCTAATTTAAAGTCCGGCCAGGTTGAGGTGACGGTTGGACGGTTTTTTGGGTTAATCCGTCGGGCCAGGTTTTAAAACAGTAGTGCAGAGGTGCATATTGATTACCTTATTTGTATTTAAGAAGTGGACCCATGTTTCTCAATTTCCTTTTTGTGGTTCTTCTGTGCTGTGCTACGTGTGTCCAATCTAATCTTTTGAAGAGTCTGTAATAGTGGGAACTTCGTATTGGACTGCCCTCTTATATTGAACCCTGTGAACTGCTCCCCAAGGAGTGATCAGGATAAGGTAAATTCACAATCACTAACATATGGGCATAGCCCAGACTGGTTTTTGAGAAATTATTGGCCCAATTTTCCAATATAAGTTCGAATATTATGTAAATAAACATAATTCATCAACTAAATGAATGAGCAGTTGTGTATCATTTAGCAAAGAACAATAAAATGCACAGCTACCATTTGGATAGGAGAATTTATGAAAGAAATCAGGATTTAAATTCCTGGATACTGCACATTATGTTGCTTGCCAACGGGAATACAAAGCTACCACAACCACCTCATATAAAGAGTTCAATACCACAATTTTTGGTAGAATTTGCATATGCTAAAGGCAAATTATCTCAAAATCAAGAAGCACAGCACCAAATGAGCTTCCAATGTCAGAATAGGTTGTGATCATCACATTTGTGCCTCAAAAATCATCAACAAAAATCAATACTTCAGATATGAAACTACGACGACTTCCACATGAACTGTTTGTTTGCATGTTGATCTAGATAACTCTTGACTTTGGAGGCACTGATGACTCCCCTGGAATTGCTAAGACCAACTTCTAAAAATTCAGTGGATGACAAGACAAAAAAAAAAAAACAAGTGCATATTGATGAAGAAAGGAAAGCAGAAAAACAAACAAGAAAACATCCAAAATAGGGCTGCAATTTGAAAGTTGATGGCTGCGTAACACCTACTTTGTAATTCAAGTCATAGTTAGTCCACTAATACATACAACTACTTCATCATAGTCCAATCTAGTGTCCACATATTTTTCTGTTGGAAGGATCTCAGAAAATAAAAGCTTCCAAATTATATCATTTATATATTTTTTTTATATCATTTATGTATATATTGATTCCTTGCATTTAAGAAGTGGGCTTATGTTTCTGTAGTTTTATACATGATGTCTTCTTTAGTTTTGTCATTTTTACAACATTGATATTAATATTTACTTGCAGCTCAAATTTCTCAGAAAAATCTACCTAGCTTTAGCTCCAATAAATGTCAAATGAGAAGCAATCAAATTGATACTAACAACACTTATATATGGCGTCATTCTGACAAAACAAACAACAAATCCACATTTATCAATCCGTCACTCAAACTTCAAGGTTGAGCTTATAAAAATGAGTGGGCATTGATGTTGATCTTCCAAGACTTAACAATGGCCAATTTTGCATTCCCTTGATTTTTTCTACTTTGCCTTGTGGCCTCTGTTCAGTGCTACACTGGGAGAAGATTCAGCTCAATATGTCAACTCATAACGGAGGAATTGTCAAAGGAGAAGCTATCTGATACCTTTCCAGCACATTTTCAGGCTCTTTACCAGTGTATATTGGTCTTCAAGATGGACAAAAAGAAAGTAATAAGATTGAAAGTTTGCCTGGACAACCCAATGGATTAAACTTTGATCAATATGATACGTTATTGTTGATCCCAATGCAGGACGAGCATTCTTTTATTAAAGCATAACACACGCGTCAAACGTAAAATTGTCTAGACATGTAGGGATCTTAATGTCTCTCAACCACCGAATTATATTGATTCCTCTATGAACATGTCCAAGAACATTAGAAAATGAAGTATAATCCTTGAGTGTAGGAAACTAAATACACAGACCTCAACAANAGCCCACCAGTTTGTCTACTTCATCGTAGTCTAATCTAGTGTCCACAGATTTTTCTGTTGGAAGGATCACAGAAAATAAAAGATTCCAAATTTTATCATGTTGATCATTTGCATATATTTATTCCTTGCATTTAACAAGTGGGTTTTTGTTTGTGTAGTTTTATAAATGATGTCTTCTTTAGTTTTGTCATTTTTACAAAATTGATATTAATATTTACTTGCAGCTCAAATTTCTCAGAAAAATCTACCTAGCCTTAGCTGCAATAAATGTCAAATAAGAAGCAATCAAATTGATACTAACAACACTTATATATGGCGCCATTCTGACAAAACAAACAACAACTTCACATTGATCAATTCGTCACTCAAACTTCAAGGTTGAGCTTATAAAAAGGAGTGAGCATTGTTGTTGATCTTCCAAGATTTAACAATGGAGAATTTTGCATTCCTTTGCTTTTTCCTCCTTTGCCTTGTGGCCTCCGTTCACTGCTATGTTGGCCAAAGATTCACCTCAATAGCTCAAGTCATAAGGGAGGAATTGTCAAAGGAGAGACTATCTGATACCTTTCCAGCAGTGAGCGGTGGATTCGATACATTTTCAGACTCTTTACCAGTGTATATTGGTCCTCAAGATGGACTAAAGGAAAGTGATAAGATTGAAAGCTTGCCTGGACAACCCAATGGAATAAACTTTGGTCAGTATTCTGGATACGTCACTGTAGATCCCAATGCAGGGCGAGCATTGTTTTATTATTTTGTCGAGTCTCCGGAGAACTCTTCTACTAAGCCACTTGTATTGTGGCTCAACGGAGGTAATGCTTTTACACAATTTTTTTGGCTTATGAGTTGACGGTTAAATATTTACAACGGCGTTGTTTATGGCCCTAAAAGAGTCCGGCATTTCCAATATCATGGGACATTTTTGTTAACATCAATGACACCAAAATTAAGAGAAAATATTCATTATCGTTGTTTATTATTAGCATTGTTATTCATTTAAACAGAGACTTTCACATTATTGTAGTCATTATCACTCAATGCAGAGGCCTAGCCACTGGGCACCGATGCAAGAAGGAGCAATCTTGATCTTTTAATTTTGTGATTATATTTTCACAATCAACAACTGCTAATATTACGGCTTGTGCAGGGCCTGGTTGTTCTTCCCTTGGTGCTGGAGCAATGATGGAACTTGGACCATTTAGAGTGGATAAAGGTGGTAACACTTTATATCGAAATGAATATGCATGGAATAATGGTGAGCACTTACTGAATTCTTCTTGATCTGATGAAAATGACCCTGAACTTGTTAAAACAAAGTTACTATTTCAACTTGTCTCAGAGGCTAATGTCATCTTCCTTGAGTCTCCGGCTGGAGTTGGATTTTCATACTCAAACACAACATCGGACTATAATCTAAGTGGAGACAATCGTACTGCTTCCGATTCCTATACCTTTCTAGTTAACTGGCTGGAGAGATTTCCTGAATACAAAACTAGGGACTTCTTTATCACCGGAGAGAGCTATGCAGGCCATTATGTACCCCAGCTTGCTCAACTAATACTTCATAACAACAAGTATGCCAACCAAACTGTTATCAATCTAAAAGGGATTGCCGTAAGTTTCTATGCTTCAAACATATTGATTGGCATGTTCATATATTGTTATGCTTGGTTTGGATATTATTCAAACGCTAACATAAGAGTTTTATGATTTTTTAGATTGGCAATGCATATATCGACAGCCTAACAACAGTTATTGGCCGCGTGGATTATTACTGGACACATGCTCTTACTTCAGACGAAATACACAAAGGAATTGTATTGACCTGCAATTTTTCTTTGCCACTTAATATATCGCAAAGTTGTGAGGACTNGGCCCACCAGTGCATACAACTACTTCATCGTAGTCTAATCTAGTGTCCACAGATTTTTCTGTTGGAAGGATCACAGAACATAAAAGATTCCAAATTTTATCATGTTGATCATTTGCAAATATTTATTCCTTGCATTTAACAAGTGGGTTTTTGTTTGTGTAGTTTTATAAATGATGTCTTCTTTAGTTTTGTCATTTTTACAAAATTGATATTAATATTTACTTGCAGCTCAAATTTCTCAGAAAAATCTACCTAGCCTTAGCTGCAATAAATGTCAAATAAGAAGCAATCAAATTGATACTAACAACACTTATATATGGCGCCATTCTGACAAAACAAACAACAACTTCACATTGATCAATTCGTCACTCAAACTTCAAGGTTGAGCTTATAAAAAGGAGTGAGCATTGTTGTTGATCTTCCAAGATTTAACAATGGAGAATTTTGCATTCCTTTGCTTTTTCCTCCTTTGCCTTGTGGCCTCCGTTCACTGCTATGTTGGCCAAAGATTCACCTCAATAGCTCAAGTCATAAGGGAGGAATTGTCAAAGGAGAGACTATCTGATACCTTTCCAGCAGTGAGCGGTGGATTCGATACATTTTCAGACTCTTTACCAGTGTATATTGGTCCTCAAGATGGACTAAAGGAAAGTGATAAGATTGAAAGCTTGCCTGGACAACCCAATGGAATAAACTTTGGTCAGTATTCTGGATACGTCACTGTAGATCCCAATGCAGGGCGAGCATTGTTTTATTATTTTGTCGAGTCTCCGGAGAACTCTTCTACTAAGCCACTTGTATTGTGGCTCAACGGAGGTAATGCTTTTACACAATTTTTTTGGCTTATGAGTTGACGGTTAAATATTTACAATGGCGTTGTTTATGGCCCTAAAAGAGTCCGGCATTTCCAATATCATCGGACATTTTTGTTAACATCAATGACACCAAAATTAAGAGAAAATATTCATTATCGTTGTTTATTATTAGCATTGTTATTCATTTAAACAGAGGTTTTCACATTATTGTAGTCATTATCACTCAATGCAGAGGCCTGGCCACTGGGCACCGATGCAAGAAGGAGCAATCTTGATCTTTTAATTTTGTGATTATATTTTCACAATCAACAACTGCCAAAATTACGGCTTGTGCAGGGCCTGGTTGTTCTTCCCTTGGTGCTGGAGCAATGATGGAACTTGGACCATTTAGAGTGGATAAAGGTGGTAACACTTTATATCGAAATGAATATGCATGGAATAATGGTGAGCACTTACTGAATTCTTCTTGATCTGATGAAAATGACCCTGAACTTGTTAAAACAAAGTTACTATTTCAACTTGTCTCAGAGGCTAATGTCATCTTCCTTGAGTCTCCGGCTGGAGTTGGATTTTCATACTCAAACACAACATCGGACTATAATCTAAGTGGAGACAATCGTACTGCTTCCGATTCCTATACCTTTCTAGTTAACTGGCTGGAGAGATTTCCTGAATACAAAACTAGGGACTTCTTTATCACCGGAGAGAGCTATGCAGGCCATTATGTACCCCAGCTTGCTCAACTAATACTTCATAACAACAAGTATGCCAACCAAACTGTTATCAATCTAAAAGGGATTGCCGTAAGTTTCTATGCTTCAAACATATTGATTGGCATGTTCATATATTGTTATGCTTGGTTTGGATATTATTCAAACGCTAACATAAGAGTTTTATGATTTTTTAGATTGGCAATGCATATATCGACAGCCTAACAACAGTTATTGGCCGCGTGGATTATTACTGGACACATGCTCTTACTTCAGACGAAATACACAAAGGAATTGTATTGACCTGCAATTTTTCTTTGCCACTTAATATATCGCAAAGTTGTGAGGACTACTTTAATCAGCTGTATGATTCAGTGGGTAATATCTACCCATATGACATATACGCCCCCTCATGCAATTCTTCTGCAGCCTCAACCTCTGTGAGTAAAATTTCTTAGATTTTGTACATGCATATTTAGTCTAATTAGTTTACTGATTCTTTTAGTAAATTTCTTATCTTAATCTCCTCTAATTTTATACTTACACACAGATCTCTGCGTTTGATCCATGCTCAGAAGATTATATATTTTCTTATTTAAACATTCCTGAAGTTCAAAAAGCTCTTCATGCAAATGTTACTTCTCTTCCTTATCCATGGGAAACCTGCAGGTACTATATTCCAACCTAATCTTAACATTTTTTGTTTCATATTACTGGACTTTCTTGACTATTCGCTACATGATCCCATGCTATTTATTTTCTATTACTACTGACTTTTGGCTGATGTTTGGGAACAGTAACCAGATACACAGGTGGAATGATTCACCCTTAACTGTGTTACCTATTATTCGTGAGTTGATGGACAGTGGAATTCTTGTGTGGATTTACAGGTAAGTCAAATAAAACAAACTGATCATCTAAGAATTTAAACAACCGAAACTACAAGTTCAACTTTACAAAGTAGAATTAAGTTAAAAATATGCTCATTATTAGTCGTAATAATTGAATGAAGAAAGTTGCAGTGGAAATAGATCATTGAAACTGTTTATTATGCTTAACTATGTGAGTTTGAATTTGCAGTGGTGACACAGATGGTGTTATACCAGTGACTTCCACTAGGTATTCCATAAGTAAATTGGGACTTTCAGTTAAGACTGCTTGGTATCCTTGGTACACTGAAGGAGAGGTAATATATAACTTAATGTTATATTCACTTTGGGTAGGGTAAAGAGCTGCTAGGCACTCTATATGTGATGTCCCCTATTTTGGATTCTACTATATAATTTGGAGGCAATTACTGGCAAAATTTAAGATAAGAGAGGATTTTTCAATTATGGGTTTTCGTATGATTGTTAAGCGCATGTCTCTTTACAGGTTTTTAAGCTTGTATTGTAATTATCTATGCAGGTTGGCGGATATGTAGTTGAATATCAGAACTTGACTTTTGTTACCATTCGAGGGTCTGGCCATTTCGTTCCCAGTTATCAACCGGCTCGAGCACTCACATTCTTCTCTTCGTTCCTTAATGGGATGCTTCCCCCCTCAAATTAGAGCTTATGGACAGGGAGGATAACAGTTACAACCATATCTATAATAATGCTTAATAACTTCCTTTTCTACTTAATAAAAAGGTTGTAATTGTATTATCAAATTAAAATTATNTTCTTCTCTTCGTTCCTTAATGGGATGCTTCCCCCCTCAAATTAGAGCTTATGGACAGGGAGGATAACAGTTACAACCATATCAATAATAATGCTTAATAACTTCCTTTTCTACTTAATAAAAAGGTTGTAATTGTATTATCAAATTAAAATTATCTTTCCTTTCAATTACCTTCACGATTTTATTGTATATAAGAAATGATAGAAACTTCCATTAATTCACATAGGAGTAATAAGATTTAGAGAAAAAACCAAAACATTGGAGCTTTGTCTCTCCAAATTATAGGATCTTTAAAATTAAATACAAATCTGGNCTTTTATTGTTTTTTTATATATAAGAAATGATAGAAACTTCCATTAATTCACATAGGAGTAATAAGATTAAGAGAAAAAACCAAAACATTGGAGCTTTGTCTCTCCAAATTATAGGATCTTTAAAATTAAATACAAATCTGGCGAAGATATGAGTTGCTTCATTTTTGGAAAAACGGATCCCAAAGAACGAAGTTCTAGAAAAACCCTTAGCATACTCTTGAATTAATCAATAAAAAACCCAACATCTGAGAAATTTCTTTGCATTTGTCCAGTAGCCTCAATGATATTCCTTGGCTCACCTTCTACAATAATATTAGAACAACTCATTTCCAAAATGCAAAACCAACTGCTTTAGATGCCAAGCTTGCATTGTTATAATAATATATTTGGTGGATGGAAATGGAAAGCACGTGGAGTCAAGTAGTCTTGGCAGTACTTACAATTAATTGTATAGCCCATGAATTTGGTGACCACAAATAATAAAAAGGGTAAAGTTTCTTGACGCTCCCTCGAGATTGCCCTAATTGCAGGAACACCTCCTATAATTTTTGAAATATAACTATTATCCCTTGTCAGATCATGTCGATTAACGGACTTCACATAGATTGTCAGTTTACTGAATTACCCTTTAAGGCTTCAACCTTATTGTTTACCCTTTGACCCCCTATGCTTTCTCAATTACCTTGCACACACCCCAATTTAATTTACAATTTAGTTTCATCATATTCAACTTTAATTTCATCAAATTGGCATCTAATTTTTTTAATACAAATATTAATTCCATCACACTAACACTAATTTCATCAATTAAACAATAAATTAATATTTAATTTCATCAAATTAATATTTTTAAATTAATGTTTCTAATTAAAACACTCAATTTATTTATTTAATAATTTAGTTTCATCAAATTGAACTTCAATTTCATCAAATAACTTTATTAATTTGAATATTAATTTCATCACACTAACAATAATTTCCTCAATTTAACACCAAATTAATATTTAATCTCATAAATTTTATCAAATTAACATTTTAAAATTTAATTTTGTCAAATTAACATTCAATCTATTTAATTTAGAACTTAGTTTTATCAAATTGACATTTAATTTCATTAATTTAAATATTAATTTCATCACACTAATGCTAATTTCATCAATTTAATACCAAATTAATATTTAGTTTCATCAAATTTATATTCAATTTCTTCAAATTAATACATTTAATTTCATTAATTCAAATATTAATTTCATTACACTAACACTAATTTCATCAATTTAACACCAAATTAATATTTAATTTCATCAAATTCATATTCAAATTAACATATTTAATTTTATTAATTCAAATGTTAATTTCATTATACTAACACTAATTTATCAAATTAATATTTAATTTCATTAAACCCGTATTCAATTTATTCAAATTAACATTTTAAAATTTAATTTCATTTGATGAAACTAAATTCTAAATTAATTAAATTGAATGTTAAGTTAAAAATTTAAATATTAAAATTTTAATTTGATAAAATTAAATATTAAT